CCTGATTTCATCCATGACAGAAAGGGAGCATTTTTGCTATTTTAAGAAGGGTTTGGCCATTGACCTGATTAGCACAAATGGTTTATAAGCCCATGGATTTATCAAATACTCGAGTGAGAGCAGATGCCAGAAGCTTCCTTCATCACATCTACACCTGCACCTTCTCCAGTTCACCGCTAGAGGTCCTTATCTCCTCATTAGATCCTTTTTAAGGCAATCATTTCCACTATTGATAACTCAAGTAGTTCAAGTATTGGTTCATCAAGCACTTGCACAGACAAAACTGACGACATAAGTAGAAAATGTGTGCACACAAAGCAGAATATATAGTTTTGTTTACTTTGCTGTTTAAGTATTAAATGCTAATAAACATTGCCCTCCTACCTTCTTCCAGACAATTAATGAATGGGTCATATTACTAAACCCTGTAAATTTACAGCATCTTTTATTGTTATTCTTTGTTTTCATATTGTACACCATGGAAAAGAGCCAGATTTGTTAGTTTTTCAAGCTGTATGTGGGATCAAATTTGTTTTGAGTGGTTTAAAAAAAAAATGCACTTGCACAATTGCACAATTTCTTGCAGTATTTGGTTCCGTGTTTAATAGCTTCTAATGTTTTAGAAAGAATAACCTTCCTGTAATGTAAAGTTTACAGTGATGCTCTCAGAACTTTTGCATACTTTGTGTGGTGCAATGTCCTCTGAACTATTTCTCACAGAAGCGCAAGAGGAGCGTTATAGGGCAACCTCATATGACTTCTGTATATTGTAGAACGTTATTGAAAACTTTGGCTTTTAGCAGGATGTTTTAGTAGTGCTTTCATTTATATACAGACAGATGTCTGTAAACAAATTACAGTGGTGGCCAAAATTATTAGAACACTAGTATCTTCACTATAGCTAAAAAATGGTTTTAAGTCAATTATTAATTTGAGTGTGTTTGGGAAACGCATAATACTGTCAGCTACAAGAAATTGAGAGACAAATACGCATTTTGATGCAGACTTAAATTATAAGCTTGGAGATCCCATAATGCTTTGGTAGATGTCATGTCACACTTTTTTATTCTGTAAACATAAAGAAGTTGTCCCGGCTACTAGGCTATCGCATGTGAGGATCCTGCAGGTGGCGGATCATTTATAGACTTTTCTCACAGCAGCCAGAATAATTAAATGTATAATTTTGATGGCGGATTGTAATCCATAAAGGATTATGTGTTTATGAAAAACATGTGAATTAAATTAAATTATATTCCAGTTTTAAATGTGCTTCTGATTACAGATAGCCTGGGATTACAAAGATTTGTATTTTAAAGAAAACCAGTTCGAAGGGAGCATAATTTGCTTTTTGGGTTAAAATAATTTGTTAATATGAAATTCGAAGAGTATGACAATTAGATTAGACTGTGCAGAAATTGAAATCTACACGCTAATACACACTATAGGCCTACTCATAGTCACCAATGCTGATGTTGTTAACATTAATAATTTGCCATTTTCTGTAGCTTTTGAATACTTTCACAGATTAAGAAAAAAAAAACTTTTGTGATTAACACAAAAGTTGTCACAATGGAAAGCTGCCATTAAAACGTCTATTATAAGCTTTGTAGCCACACGTACAGTAAAAAAGTAAGTTTTATATTAAACATTTTGTTTTTGTCAATAGAAATTATAATTTATAAATTGCATAAAATATGACAACTTGTCCCAACCTAACATTTATGAAAAATATCATTGTCCTGAGAACATATTTCAATCTTTGTTAAAGGGGTCATCGGATGCAAAATTCACTTTTGTTGTCATTTGAACATAAATGTGTGTTGGAAGTGAGTGCAAACATCCATCCTATAATGATAAAAATCCACCCAGTGTTTTTTTAAAAATCCCTATTTTAAAATCCCCTTTCTCAAATCAGGCTGCTGTGAGATTCCTGTCAGAATGACGTAGTTCTGCAGAGGCCCCTCCCACGATAGTTGATTGACAAGGCCGTCTTACCTTAGACCCGCCCTGAGTGAGCTGTCATCAGTCCGCCATTGTGTCGACTCTGGTGCAGGGGAAGACAAGAATGTCTCCTACAGGGACGCGGGAAGTAGGGGTGCTGAGGGGGCTGCATCACCCCCTGTTTTCACATGGTTGCAAATGTAACGCCAAGTTTGTTCATTTAATTAAATTTATTCAGTTTTAGCATTTAATAATTTATTTGTAATGACCCTGGTCTCCTATTAAGTGCTTGAGGTGTTTTGTTGTTGGATGTAATAATGAACATAGCAGTCCTCATTTACTCCCTACATCTGAGCCGCTGAAGAAGCAGAGGATTAAGGTTACTTTCGTTTTGAAGGGAATGCGCCTATCCCCGATCTGTCTAAATGCGTCTTTGTTCGTGCAAATCATTCGTGATTGAGCTTCATCTACACAAGAAGTGAGTATAAGGTTTTTTTATGAATCTTTGCAAATTGCCTTTCCTAATATTAAGCAATAGTAAGTAATAGTAAGCAAGTTTCGCTGCTAAAGTAAACAGTACTGCTCGTCACCCAACAGAAGAGAGGGGCGGGGTGAGCAGAGCTCATTAGCATTTAAAGCAACATGGACTAGAACAATGTGCTGAAAACAGAGCTCATTTTGATAAGGTAAAAAGGGTGTTTTTTACACTACCATTGAGAAATTTTAACCAAAATATGTTATAGACTTTTCATTAAGACCTTAAAGCAGTGGTCGCCAACCCGTCGATCGCGATCGACTGGTAGATCTTTATCACTGTCCCAGTAGATCCCGAAAATAACAGTAAAATAAGTACAAAAATGCATTACATTTCTGGGGTTATATTAATGTATCAATGAAGGGAACTGTCTTGAGAAAAGTTTCGATGGCAATGGCATTTTCTTCTCCTCCGTATAAAGCGCGGCTCTGCTTGCTTTGTTTACAGCGGTAACCAAGGAAACGCTATTGCGGTCGGTTCATAAGCAGTGTTGCCAAGTCCACGGTTTTCCTGCGGAATTGGGCTAATGTTACTTTAACACTGTTGCCGCAGGTTGTTGTTAATGTCCGCGGGTTGAAGCGACCCCAATAAGGTGATATTTATCCCCTGGAATGCGAATTTTACTGGAAGATCCCCGCCGAAAAACGTGTATTTTACCCCCGGAATGCGATTTTTACGAGCGGCAACCTCCCGCTCTCTCTTGTGAAGCCAACAAGGAAGTGACTTAAGCTGCAATTCATCGACTGGCCGCTAGAGGCTGGCTGCAAAAGGGAGTCAATCCCATAGACTCCCCATGTTAAAATGC